CCACACGCCGCTGCATGTGGTGGCCAACCATCCTGACTTGCCAGAAAATTCAACTATTTCCAAAAATTACAAAATTTTACAAGCATGTAGATCTCAGTGAGGGGAGCAATTTTCCTCAAACTCGCCGGAACCCTAGAAAAGGGTGTGCTTCGATTCGACTTCCATACGAACTCCTACACCTCCACCAATGCTTGGGCTTTGTTCCTGGGGTTGAGAGGAACCTTTTTGTGGTAGTGGTGGTGGTCAGGACCTTCAGAATTGGTGTCTCGCCAGAACACCCATGGACCCAATGGGTTCCGTTCCTCCCAAAATCGGGCCTAATCAAAGTGGTTTTTGGGTGGGAATGAAAGAGAGAAGGCTAGGGAGTTGTTAGGTAGGAGTGGAAGGTTGTTAATCACCAAAAAAATGGACGGAAAACCCGTCGGAAATGTCTACCCGAACCGAGTCGGGTTGTTGTGTAACGGGTCAAGAGGAAAAGCCTTGGTTGGATGCCACTCACCTCTCTCCTTTCCCTCCATGATCTCTCCCCTCATTGGTTCCCCTATTCCCTCCTTTCTCTCCCGCAAGAGAGATTTTTCATTGTGACTGGTACACGGAATGGTACACCACGTGTCATTATACAAATTGTGGGATATGTGCGCTAAAAAGTTAATAGCTTAAAAAATAAAATTTCCCACCACACCTATTAAAACACGTGGTGTACCACTTGTGTTCCCATCACAACTAAAAATTTCTCCTCCCGCAACCCCTTCTTTTTCCTCTTTCTTCCCTTTTTTTTCCTTCCTCCCCCCCGTTGGTCTATCCTCCTCCTCCTCTGTTTATTTTTCCTTGCTGCCATTTGGCAGCTCCCCTCCTCCTTTTTTATTTTTATTTTTTTTAGGAAACTTCTAACATCCATAACGTTTCCTTTCTTATTCTGGTTCACAAACAGCCTTCGCCTATGCGTTCGTGGGTCGAAATCTATTTGAAAACATTAATTGTGATCTCGAAAGGTCAACGAATTTTAAAGATTAATTACGAAAATTCAAACCCGATAACTATTCGATTTAATTCCCAAAATTTACGGAATTAAAATTAACTAATAAAAATAACGTAAACATGAGATACGAATTTGAATTACGAGATACGTAATGAATAGTGAAATTTCGGGGAGGGATTTCACAACTCAACCATGAGTTCTCCTTGAAATGATCTTGATAGCTAATAGACAACACCCTTGTTAAGCAAATAAAAATTTCAACTCGAGAAGCCCGACTTTTAGGCCTTGTTTGGCACATCGTATAAGACATTGGATAGTACAAATAATATGGTGTACGGTGTTTGGACTAAATAGGCACCGGATTAATTAATCCAGGCCTACCTTTTTTACACGGTGTTTACCCGCTTGCTTATACCGTCCAAATTCACGGTATAACTTAGTCGGGCTCGCTCTCGCTTCCTCTCTAGAGGCACTCTTCCGCTCCATGCGCTCTCTTTTCCTCTCCAGAGGCACTCTTGCTCTCATCCCAGGTTCATCTTTTCAGTTTTCTTCTTCTGGGATTCCACCCCTCCCTCTATTCTTCCCCCTCCTATTTTTCTTTCAATTTTTTTTTTCAATTGATTGAATCTAGTTATTATTTTCTCTCTAATTATGCAATTGATTATGTAATTTTGTGTTTAATTAGAATTTTTGAATTTTAGGGTTTGCTATTGGGGTCGAATTTAGAGTTTGTAGTTGGTGTTGAACTTTAATTAGAATTTTAATGATTGGGTAGAGTGGGAGTGTGCAGGTTCACTTACGTAAACAAAACTTTGTCTCTGTCTCAGCTCCCGTTTCACTTGCTGTCTCGCAGCTGCAACATAACCATACAGACAACTGGGTAAGCCAATTTCTCTTCGCTCTTGTTCTCTCTCTCTCCATCACCGTCTATGCCCTGAAAATTAGATCCCAATAAAATGCTGTTCTTCTCAGTTTTTGCATCACTCCCTCTCAGCTTTTATCCATTTTTTAATTTTTATGTGAATTTTACTTTTTATCTGGATATATATATATATATGTGTGTGTGTGTGTATGTGTGTGTGTGTGTGTGTGTGTGTGTGAATAATTTCGGACTAGGGTTGTTGAATTGTTGATTGGCATTTATTCCACTTTGTAAAGTAATTGCCTTTTAGAAAAAAAGAGAGTGTGAGTGAGAAATAGAGAAGAAGGGAGAGTTGCTGCTCTTCTGATGTTTCGGCTTAATTTTGATGCAACATGACACTCAATTTTGATGCAACAAGAGGTTATGAACTTGCATTTGTATATTTTATGAACTTGGATATGTGGTTGGATTATATAACGTAACAATTGTAGTTGTTTTTTTGTGAACCTTCTTTTATGTTATTGGAAAATATTTTGAATTTGATGTATGGAATTTACTATTTTTCTTTGTTATTTGAAAATTTGTGTGGTTTTCAATAGGTATAAATATGAGAAAAATTCAACAAACAAAGAAAGATTTGTTAAATTTTTTTTTCTTCTTTTGTCCTATCTGGTTTAGTACCAAACACAGTATAAATAATACGGTCATTAATCCGATACTGCACCAAACGCCCGACTAATTTAGTCAGTATTATCCGGTGGCTATTTATCCTATCCGACAGAAATAGTCAGTACAGTCCAAACTGCCAAACAAGGCCTTAGTGTACTCAAGTGAAATAATCATCAAATTAATTCCATAAAAAATATTGAAATATGTCAATCGATGATAAAAAATTTCTCTCTCCAATTTTCTTGTTTGGTCAAGCATGGAGTTAAACTCCAACTTATTAAATTGTTGATTATCCAAAGTTATAACTATTTCAGTTACCTATATTTTCAATTTCTTGAGTCTCAACTTTTGGGTTGTCAAGGGAGATCTTCTTCAACAAGATTCTCAACAAGCAAAATTACTTGTTTTTCTCTTCTATCTTGACCTCCACCGTTTCTTGGCATAATGAATTATCAGTGTCCATCACTTTAGCTTCTTTTCTAATGATTGCTTGACTCCTTTCCAAATACAATTTCTATAAATCGGAAGAAAGAATTGCTTAACAATAAGTCGGTTCAACCGACACCAGAAAGCCTTCAATGCAATCATTTTCCAGAAAAATAAGAATATCTTCAAGATCAACTTGATGAGGTCAGGGCCGGGCCAGGCCCAGTGCAAGCAGGGCAACCGTCCGGGGCCCAAAAAAATTAGGGGCACCAAAATTATTAGGGTGGTATATTTATATATGTTTTTATAAAAGTATATATTTATAAAATTTGGTTCAAAGATATAGAAATTTAATTAGAAGTGGCGGTTTGTCATTTGAAAATAATGAGGAGGTATTGGGTTCAAAACACCATGTGTGTTTATTTACTTTCCATTTTTTACAAATTTCTTTTCATAAGAGTATAAATTTATAAAATTTGGTTAAAGGATCAAGAAGTTTAATTTTAAACAATGATTTTTTATGTTTAAAATTAACAAGAGGTCCTAAGTTCGAAATGCTATGTGCATGTTTATTCTTTTCAATTTTTATAAATTTTTGTTTGGTTGTTAATTTATTTTTAGTTACTATCTAGTAGCTATGTGGGTTGTTATTTTTAAATATTCGTTTTAATTCAAGTCTAATCTTCAACAAAGAATAATACGTAGACCAAATTTGCAAATTATATGACGTGTTATCAAAATGTTTAATTTAGTACCCATTCATTGATAATACATATCAATTAAAGACTCGACAACATCATTATTTTTTAGTCCCATATTGACAAGGTTAGTAAATAAGAAAAAAAACACCTCACGATTTATTCAAAAACACATTCAAAGTTCAGATGGAAAACAAAACTCATCATCTATCTACTTGTAAGCCCGAAGTTTTTTTGTTTCCATCTCTCAATACAAAATAAAGTAGTCTTTTTGTGTTTCTAAATTATTGAGTTTGAAGTGTTTTTCTAAATATAATTTTATCGATATCTTACGTGTGAAAATAAATAATTTTCTTACATGAAGTTAGGGCACTTTTTTTACGTCTCCCCGGGCCTAAAAAATCTCTGGACTGGCCCTGGATGAGGTTGGCTATGGGCGAATCCATAATGTGTTCCCCTTCAATATTTGGTACTCCCTTACGAACAACGTGGCTTAGGATTTTGCTTCTCCCATGATCGATTGCCATTCGTTAAAGACAAATCCATGTTCTGATACCAATTGACTCGTCACAAGAGTAGTCAATGGGATACAAACGTAAACCCAAGAATTAGAAGGCTGAAATCCACCAGTTTAAAGAGAAAATCTCAAAGGTTTTTATTTTTTTATTAATTCATGAATGATGATTATATAGAAGCCATAAGCCTTACATAGACTTAATCCAACCCTGAAATGTTTTTTTTTTAATTTTATTAATTCATGAGTGATGATTATATAGAAGCCGTAAGCCTTACATAGACTCAATCCAACCCTAGAAAAGTTGAGGAGAGTATTAGGGAATGGAAAATAAGTAAATCAAACGTAAAACAAAAAGTCCGATTTTTATTACAAACTTCAAAATGCAATTTTCGAAGTCTAAACCATCGTTTTTGGCTTTAAACATGATGGGCTTGTTCTGCTTGCAATTCTCTTCAAAACAACATATTATACACTCAATTCTGGCATCAAAATATTATTGCTACATTTTTTTGCCGCGGTATCAATTTAATCTAATATTCCCAACTTTAATTCTTTTGTTCCAGAATCTGAGAAATGATCTGAAATTCATCACGATTAATCTGTTGATCACCTCTGAGATGATACACATTGTACAGTTGATACTGTCGGATTCGGCTAAGCTAGCCCTAAACAAAAACTAATCAATCTGCACAAAAACATAATTATTATCCCCCTCTAAAGAAAACACCTAGTTTTCAAGTTCCCACTTCAGCAGTTGATTCAAATTTCAAAAGAAAGAAAACTGTGGTATTTGAATCTTTGCTCACGGAGTTAAATACAACTGTGTTCTTTGAGTCTTTGCTCACAGATTCAAGAGTGCCTGGACCGGAGCAGGAAGACACTGAGTTCTTGACTCGGACACTGATCCGGGTTAATCAGATGAAACGACTCCGAGTCAGCGCTTCCCACCACGTGATCGTAATTCGCCCTCATGTACATCACCTCCTGATGCGACTCCGCCTCCGACCCAAGCGCGAACCCAGCCGGCATTACCCCGGCTCCGACCGTCATCGACTGCATCAGCTTCAGCATCAATTTCACCTTCTCGCTCGCTTTTCTTCTCGCCGCGAACCCGAATTTGCGGCCGTTGATGTGAACGGTCCAAATGGGAACGGTCAGGAGCGAGCAATCAATGAGCTGGGGCCGGTCCGACTCGTTGCACTCGAGTGTCACGCGGACGAGCCCCAATTGCATCTCGTTGACGAGCTGGTGGGTCGAGACCGAGAGCTCGAGGAGGAGGGTGGGTTTGGTGGAGCGGCGGTCGTGCTGGATGCACAACCACACGTGCCCGCGGCGGTGGCCGAAGATTGTGCCGATGACCATGGATTTCGAGGGGCGGGGCTGCTGGGGCAGAACCACCGAGACGACTTCGTTTTGGGGGGTGGGCGAGGTGGAAGATTGGGAATCTTGGTCCTGGGGATCTAGGGCTTTGGCGGCGGCGGCGTTGATGTCGTCCAGGTCGTTGCGCAAGGAGGTGCTGAGGCGTTTCTTGGGGGCGGCGGTGGCGGAGCGGGTGGATTTCGCGGAGGTAGGGGAGAAGCAGGGGAGAAGAAATCGATGGAGGGCGTTGATCTTGGTCATGGTTTTTGGATAATTCGATCGGATTCTTGCGAGTTGGGGCTTTAGGGTTTCGAATTCCAAACGTTGAGAGGTTGATTCTTTTGGGTTTTAGGAATTTGAGAGGAAGGGGTCTCCGAGAGGTTTTGGGAGTCTGGTGGTTTACGGTGGGTGCAGAGAGAGATATATTTATATACGGAGACTGCGCGGGAAAAGTATAGAAGTGCTAATAGCCGTTGCAAGCGAAGCCTTGCAGAAACATGACACGTAGCCTAGCCAGCCTTTCGCCTCTTGTAACTAAGGAAATATGTGCCGTCAAGTTCAGTTGGTTAGGGTAGTGTACAACTTCCATTGCACTCGATTCTGGATTTACGTCTTTGTGCATTGGAACAATTAGATGTCGTATTGCCACAAATGTTAAGGTTTCGACATTTTTGGTTGGGGATTTAATTTTTAACAACTGGATCTTTGTTTGTAATTTCATTATTAACTTTTTTGACGAAAATGTCACGAGCGGCATGTGCGTCCGACAATTTTATTTGGAGGAACAATAATTTTCATTGGTTTAATCAGGTCTCGTAGTTTGACTTGGATTTTAATTTATTCTCCATAATTTCATTGTTTCAATTAGGTCTCATAGTAACAATTAGTTGCAACTTTTTATTTAATATAAGTGATAGTAGAAGAGGGCGAAATCCAACCCGAGACATCAAATACAAAAATTATATTTTTTTGGATGAACTGCCAATTTAGTCATTGAATTATCATCTTAGTGAAAATTAGGTTTTTAAATAATTTTGTTTTGAAAAAAAATCAGTCCTTGAATTGTAAAAATCTGTCAAATTACATCCCTAATATTATATTTGAAGCTACTACATTAAATTTTCCGTCAAGTTAAGTCTCGTTACTTGCATGTGATACACATTGGAGGGTAGATTGATAGTTTTTCATAAAGAAATAGTGTATGGAGTTAACATTAGAGGGTAAATTAGACGTTAGATTCGCAACCTATATGAAATGTTAAGGGCTTAAGTTGATGAAAAATTGGAGGCGAGAAAATAACGATATTACACTCTATAAGTTGACAAAAAATTAGATAAAATAGCTTTGGACATAATAGTAAGGATGAAATTAGTATTTTTTTTAATGAATTTAGGGACTTATTTTACTAAAAAAATAATTCAGGGACCTAATTATCACTGAAATGATAGTTCAGGAACTAAATCGGCACTTCATCCTATATTTTTAACTAATTGACCTACACGATTCTTAGAGCATTTTCATAAGGATTCAACGTGATCATGGAGTGCCGGCTGTCGACTACCTGACGCCCTCCCCCTCCTCCTTTATCCGGGCTTGGGACCGGCCATGTAAGACATAGGCGGAGTTAATTGACCTACACGATTCTTAGAGCATTTTCATAAGGATTCGACGACGATTCTTAGAGCATCTCCAAAGAAAATGTCAATTTTAAATTTGACATCTTTAAAAGTGTAGTTAAATTAGTATAATAGTTTAGGTAACTATTATGAATAGTTTTAATAAATAAACATAAATCAAGAGAATGCATTTTAATCAGGGCCGATCCAGAGATTTTTGAGGCCCGGGGCAATGCCAAAAAATGTGCCCTAACTTCATATAAGAAAATTATTTATTTCACGCGTAAGACATCGATAAATTTATACTTAGAAAAACAGTTCAAACTCAATAATTTAGAAACACAGAAAGACTAATTAATTTTGAATCGAGAGAAGGAAACCAAAAAATTCCGAGCATACAAGTAGACAGACGATACCGTGGCAGTCATCGTTTGCCTCGCAGTTATACCTTGTGTTACACTCAATAGGGTTGGTCCAGAGAATTTTGAGGCCGGCGTGACGCCAAAAAATGTGCCCTAACTTCATATAAAAAAATTATTTATTTTCACATGTAAGACATCGATAAAATTATACTTAGAAAAGCAATTCAAACTCAATAATAAACACAGAAAGACTAATTTATTTTGTATCCAGAGAAGGAAACAAAAAAACTCCGAGCTTACATGTAGATAGACAATGAGTTTTGTTTTCCATCTGAACTTTTAAAGTGTTTTTGTATAAATCGTGAGGTGTTTTTTCCTTTTTACTAAACCTTGTCAATATGAGACTAAAAAGATAATGATGTTTTTGAGTCTTTAATTAATATGTATAATTAATGAATTGGCACTAAATTAAACATTTTGATGACACGTCATATGATTTGCAAATTTGCTCTACGTATTACTCTTTATAGAAGATTAGACTTGAATTCAAACGAATATTTAAAAATAGCAACCCACATAGCTAATAGCTAGTAACTAAAAATAAATTATCCAAACAAATATTCATAAAAATTGAAAAGAATAAACATGCATATAGCATTTCGAACTTAGGAAATCTTGTTTGTCACACCCCGGGCACAATGGCGAAAGAGTGTTAGAAGGCCCAGAGATTGTGGATGAGACTACTCAAAATATTCAGGTGATTAAGTCTAACCTGAAAGCGGCCCACGATCGGGGCGTGTCATTGTTAATTTTAAACAACAAAAACCATTGCTTCTAATTAAACTTCTTGATCATTTAACCAACTTTGATAAATTTATACTCTTATGAAAAGAAATCTGTAAAAAATTAAAAATAAATATGCACATGTAGTGTTTTGAATCCAAGACCTCTTCATTATTATCAAATGACAAGACCACCACTTCTGATTAAATTTCTTTGTCATTAAACCAAATTTTATAAATTTATACTCTTATAAAAACATATATAAATATACCACCCTAATAATTTTGGTGCCCTGAATTTTTTTGGGCCCTGGACAGTTGCCCTGCCTGCATTAGGCATGGGTCGGGCCTGATTTTAATAATCAATTAGTAAAATACTAGCAAAAATTGCCCGCGCGATGCTGCAGGTTCCAAATGCAACCAATTCTTGCAATCAGTAAATATGGTTGAGAAGTTGTCAATAGTAAAAAAAACATGTTGGCCAGAATAGTCAAATTTTATTAATTTACTCCAACTGATTTCAACTTCTCTAAAAGGTTTGTTTCTAGACTCTTACATATCACCCAATACTTTTTTTTGTTAAATGGCCCTAAACTCTGTAAAAAAAATTAGGCAACTCTAATTAACAATTGCTAATCAAACTGTAAAAACAACATAGTGAGCTTCAACTGTTTTAAAAAATCTGAATCAATAGATTCAAAGGTCTTGATATGCATTATTGTTCAAACATCTGAATCAATAGATTCAAAGGTCTTTGATATGCATTATTAACCAAAGGCATCCATTACATTTTAATAAATATTTCCCTAATGGACTGCAATGCAGATACAATTTGAAAGATCAAATTCAAACATTGGAGCACTCAAGCACTCAAGCAATTTAGATAATGCTTGAAAGGTGAAATTCACACACTAAAACCACTTTGCAACAGATTCACATGAGTCGCAGTAGGAACTTACTAACCAAAACTTTACCACAGCCAACCGCTAGGTCCTCTCCATTAGTTAGGTAGATTTTACGTAGCTGCATTGACAATGAAATAAGGGAAATAAATCAGTAATCTTAATTTTTTTAAGGAACTCAAAACTATTTCCCAACTTGCTTGTTTTCCTTGCATTAAAAATTATAAGCACAGAGGGGAATGGATATGTCCCAACAAATAATGCAAAAATCAACAATAAAGATTTTTAAATAAATTTTGTGGTTAATGTGTATAGCAAATGCATTAGAAAATCAAATCTTGAATATAATACAGCGAACATGGCTCTATGAGTAGCCCACCTCAAGCACGATGGAACTCTGATGTGATTGTCGCATCATGCCACCCATAGAAAATACCAATTGATAAAGAGTCAATATTTGAGAAGTTTATCTCACAATTATTTGATTTAAACCGATTCTTTTCATATGGTTCATCACATAAGGGGTTTCTGAGTAATCCAAGCAATTAAGCTACTGGCAGGATTTGGAGATAAATCTCAAAACGGTTTGCAATTCAATGACAACTGAAGGGGCTTAAAGGGAAGTAGTGGTACTGGTGATATTAGGATACAATAATAAAAAAAAGCATTGAAATGCTTAGCTTTTTGTTTAACACACTTTTTTTCTTTAGAGAAGAGAGGCAGGGGAAATCAATAGGAACAGTCTGATAGGTTCTAAGTTTTAAACATACATACATACATACATATATATATATATATATATATATATTATATACACACACACACACACACACACACACACATACCGATATTCATTGACCATAAAGTATTACATGCAACTCAAAAACTAAAATAAGAGACTTGGTGGAAAACCCGAAATCCCTCACCCAAAAAACTCAATGCGCAATTAGATCATCAAGCTTCATGTCATATTGTTTTTCGTTTAAGAAAACCTTTTTCCAGTTCAAGTAATACCAATTTAAGTTTAAATACCTTAAATATTCACAATACATAATTTGGAAATAGAAAAAACATAAACATAATCATACCTGGAGAGTGATGGCAAAAGTATTACATCAGCCAGAAAAACCTTGCAAAGAACAAAAATTCCACAAAATCAGTATATTAGCACTTCCTGCAAAACCTCAAAATCAAAAATTAGAAAAATCAAATTTGATAACATAATACGAATTCGTATCTGTTAGAGTAGACTCCATTTAAATTAGAATAATTAGGTTTAGGATAAATACCCAAACAGTTCTACTTGATTTGGTCCTTGCTGCAAAAATGTAGGCATGGTGTTATGCGTAGTAGACTTTTTCTTGCCGGTCCAGCAACGACCACTAACACAGCAGGCACAATTAAAAGGTCCACCATTTCTCCAATAAAAAACCTACTTTACACAAATTTTTTGAATTATAATCAAAATAATTAGATTAAATGCAAAATTAAAACTCATATGAGAAAATGAAATTGAAATTAACCGAAACCCTAATTGAATTGAAGCCCTTGTTAAAAAAAGCCTCATTGATATTGAAATTAAACAAAACCCTCTCTGATTTTGAAACCTCAGACTTAGAGTCTCATACCTTAAATTTGAGCATCGAACCTGAGATACAAAGCCATGAAGATTGGTAATAACGGCGTGGTCCATTTCGCTTGCATCCGGCA